TTTGGCTTGTGTCCAGCTTGCTAAACAGAATGGTGTCATGGCAATAAGATGAAGGCCCCTGCGCCAGTGCAGGCAGAAAGCCAAAATTTTCCATTGTAGATTTCCCTGCCTCTTAGCTGTATTAAGGATGACCTGCCCTGTCGCTGATTTGGACTACCTTATGGGTACTGCAGAACAAGCAACATAAAGCATGCTGTTGGCGAGACATTTGGAGAGGTGAGATAACCAGCTCTTTGAAACCCTGCAACATAAAATATCAACAGGGGCCATATATCCAGAAACTTGACTATTAGGTCTTTGCCAAACAGCAGTGAAAGAACAAGTTAGAATATCTGAAATGCATTACTCTCCAAATGATGTTGAGACTGATCCCAGAATAACAGGCTTATTTGTATGAATAGAAATGAACTAGTCTGAATGCTGTATCACAGAGCCATGAATCAGCGAGCCGAAGTCTCCCAAGTGCTTATGGCATTGTGCTTATAGACTGTGAGATAGTCAGTCATCTTAAAATCTAATGGTACTTTGGTTTTATCTTTCTGAATCAAGGAAAGGCTTTTGTGTTCTCCCTTTTGTCCAGACTCAGCACAAGTCTTATTACACAATTTGGCCACAACTGTGTTTTGCAATGCTAAGACTGTTTGTTCTTGAACACAGAGTGAAATGTGACATTGCATACCTAATCTTTTCTTGAATATGTTACTTTTGGATATAGTGCCCTTCATTTGATTTTTTTTCAGGAAAGTTCTGTGTGATTATAATGGAATTATTCTTGAGATTATTAGGTCTACAACTTCTAATACATTGGTATTTAAAACACAAGCCTCTAGAATTTTCCACCCTCATGACTACACTATTTCCAAGAAAAGGACCTTGTCAACTGAAAGCATGATATAAAGGGAGCTTTTATATTTGCATAGAAATTGTTTGATAGCAAAGTCTCCAAGGTTTCTCTTTGAACTCAAGTATGCAAATTTAATAGAATTAAACAAAATACCCTAAAGATGACAGAAAATCATGGTACTTGAGACAGGTTTAAAAATTGGTTTCCTCTTCCTTTACCTTGATCCTGGGCAGAATTTTTAAAGCATATTTAACTTGTGGGTTAGGTTGTCATTTCATAAACTCAGTTATTACTCAGTATCCTTTCTTTAAATAGATTTGTCTATTTCAATTCACGGCATGTGCTGTCTCTGTGGGACTCTACGGAAAAACTGTACAGTCATTTATCTTTGTTATTTTCTGCAGGATTTGGAAGGAGTAATCATATTAGCTCAGCAGATTTTAAAATAATAATAGTTCTAAAACACCCTGCATGAGCTGTTAATTGGAATAATATGTGCTAAAGATAAACAGGCATTTTTTTCATGGATTCCAATCTCGCAGCAAACTGAATAAGACACTGTGGCTCTTGTATCCATTTCATTCTTACTTCATGAGTATAATAAAAAAAAGTAATAATTATACTCTAATAAAGGTTATTATTCAGCACCACCTTTGATTTTCCTAATTAAACAAGGTGAGCGTAATTTCCTTTTCAGATGCTTTTAAAAAATCTTGACCTTTTTGCCTTACTGTCCCATTTTTAAAAAATAATATCCAGTTCTGTGTACATATGCAAAATAAATGAAGAATATCAATCTTGAACCTTTGTGTAGATCTGAAAGAAATTCTTGCCAAATTTTCCTGTACCAATGTTACTTTAATTTATAGCACAGATGCTGTACTAAGTGTAATATCGTTGTCAGTTCAGTATTTCTAAAGAAAGAAGGTCAAGATCCGTACACAATGTAATAAGCATTTTTGCCTATTATTATTTGCACAATTACAGTGACTGCTTGGGGTAATCTATGTTTGGCTGAGTATCCCGTCATTACCTTGGACAATGATCTACTTTTAGGAATATTTTGGCACAGAGATAATTTGTCTTTTCTTCTCCCACTTGCATCATCTTTTAAAAAATGACACATCTTATGACAGTGTAAGGAAATATAGAAAAAGTACCTTTATCTGAACACAGAACGGCATGGTTTATTAAAAAGAATAAGAACAGGTTAATCTCAAAGTAATTTTTGGTCTGGAAACTAAACCTATTAAAGAAGGTTGTAATTGAGACATACTTTTACAATCTTTCAGTCTATGTTACATCTTAAAGAATGAAAAGTAGAGATTAACCTTAAACATTCTCTGTTTTTTATCAGTATGATTTTATGTAAGTTTTAAAGAGAACTTTTCTTTCCTTAGTAGAAATGAAAAAATTTTCATAGTCAGAGCTAGACAAAATTTCCAAATACATGGAAATATTTAGATCTGTTCAACTCTGCCTGGGCAACTTTGGGAAGAAAAAAAAGTTGATAAAATGAAATAGAAGCTAAATTGTAAAAATAGTAATTTGACTCGCATTAAATATGACTTCTACTATTTCTCAAAAAAATATACCAAACATTTTTTCTGCATTGTTATAAAAAAAAAAAGACCACCTCAGAATTTTAAAATTAAACATGATGTTTCCACTATATAAAAATATGGAACAATGTGCTGGTAAATTGAAGTTCATCTGGGTTCTGTAGGGTATCCTCTCATATTACAGCTATAATAGTAACAATAATGCTTGTAGGCAAGATCCACGGTCTCGGAAAATTATTCCACATTCTTGATTTATACTGGATTTATCTTCAGTTTGAGATCTCAACGAGAAAATGGCTGAGTTCTTCTGGTACAGAAGTTTGAGCTGAACTTTTAATGATTGTCTTGCCTACATGAAATATGACATTTAAATTAACACGTATATATGTTTAAACATACAACTTATTTTGTTTAAGTTCCCCTGCATCCTGCAGTTCCTTTAGGGTCTCCTTCATCACTTTATTGTTTTTCTTCCCTGTGGTCACTGTCAAATAGTAGTAAACTCTAGTTAGGTGATGGGGACTGCTGATATTCCATCTGAAAGGAGGAGTGATGATCTATGTGAAGCAGTAATGGAGATGCATTTGGCCTTCTACATACTTTTTATATTGTTCTAAGAGCACTTTGATAACTATTTTAATAATGATTACTAAATACAGCAGAGCTCTCTAGGTCAGAATCTATTAGTGTCCCTAAATGTGTTTAACTGCTAAGCCCCTGGAATTTCTCAGAGGGTAAAGTTAAGTACACGCTTGAGTATTTTGTTATGCTAGGCTTCACATGTTACATAATGTAAAATAAGCAAAAGCTTAAATCCGCAGCTCTGAACTGAATGGTCATCATATGACCAAGTGAAAGGGAGGTAGCGGTCCGTGGCTGCATGGTTAGTAAAGCATTCGCAGACCTGAGTTTGAGAGACATAGAATCATAGAATCATAGAATCACTTTGGTTGGAAAAAACCTTTGAGATCATCGAGTCCAACCTTTAACCTAACCCTGACATGTCTTGTAACACCACGTAGCATAGGAAGCACACAGCCCCTGTTGTTAGTTTAGTATTTCAGTAATTGGTCTTCATAACTCACCTGCTGGGTAGTTGGGCATTTGGGGCAGGGTGGACAGGGCTAAGAGTAAGAAATCTATGCAACTTTATCAAGGAAACTGAAATAAACCAGGGATGCAGCTGTGATTAGATGTGAATTCACACCTCCTAGGCTTGTGCGGCTAGGCAATGTTTATGGTGATACTGGGTATCAATTTTGTGATGTATTTATTTACAACTTAGAGTCAAGTATATTGTAAATCATCTGAAATGTTGCATTGTGCATACAGACTGACAGCTTGACCAGGTGCTCTTCCAACTTTGTCTGTTACCACTCTGCACCCATAGTCCCTGTTTGCTGTTATGACTGCTCTTTATGGTAAACCTTAAATTAATATAGTCTCTCAGTGGCAGACACTGTCTCTTACACACAGGAAAAATCTTCCAGGCTGAATGTTAGCTATGGTTTGCTAAAATCAGTCTTGGCATACCTGGTTAAAACAATTATTGACTTCAATAATAGCTGCACTTTCCAATCTTGCTGCAGTGTTACCATGTTCCAGTAACTACGTTCCAGTTTGACTTCGGTCCCACAGTTTCAGTTTCTTGAAACAGAAGTTTTGTATTCATCTCCTCTTGTCTGATCCTAGAGCCACCCACCACTGAACCAGCAAATTTCCTGCTGCATTCAAAATAATGGTCAGACCTTCAAGGTCAAAGCTTTAAAAGCCTTTCCACCAGTCCTATATAGTGGAAAGAGGTGTGAGCACTGGAAGACGAGGAATTCCTTAATCTATTTAACAGGCAGGAGTGTAAAAGGAGGAACTGAAAATTGGCCTCTGACATCAAAAGGTGCTCTAATTACTCCTTTCCCTCTGTGGTCTTATTTGTTTGACAGTAAATTATTTAAAAAATTGAAAAGGTCTTAAATTTTTTCATATAGGGGCATTTGGGATTTTGTGTGTTGTATATTGAAGATCTCTGGGCTATATCACAGAGAAAAATGTAATAGCACAGACTTGTAGAGAAATGTGTATGTAAGTTCTAGAAGTTCTCTGAGACTAGACATAAATTCTAAAAGAAACACGGGTGTAGACTTTTTTTAGCTCCCACACCCTATTAAACCTCCATTAAGAAATCAAGCAAAACAAAGCAACAGAAGAAAAGAAGGAAGAAGAAAAAACAGTCAAAGCTTTTGCTTTAAAATTTCATTGCAATTCAGATTTGATGACTTGGCACTGCTGTGCAAAGTAGCATTTTTCAGTCTTATTTTTTCTTGCAGAATTACATCGTTACCTCAGAGCAGTTTTAAAAGACACTGAGGATGATGTATTCCAGTTGAAAATGAACAGAGCTGATACTTCAGGAAGGACTGAAGTCAGGTCACTATAGAAGGAAAACACATTTTTAGTTTTATGCAAAGGAAGCTTTTTTCTCTCCTTAAGAATCCTTTCCTCTTGTCCATGCTGTGCACTTGCACGTATAGGGCACGTGTACCTTTACACTTGCACATGAGAGCAGATTTAGGAGATGCGCTTTGACAAAAACCTACCATTCTGATGCCGTTCTCAAAGGCCTGACGCGCTAGGGAAGCAGGTCCATCCACAGTCTTACCGTCGTCATCAGGCCCCCAGCTGGCACTGTAGATGTGGATGTGCTGGGGATTAAGGCTTAAAGACTTTGCTTCTACCATGTCTGTCACATCTCCATCCAGCATTCGTACACCTTCAGAACGAAAGATACAATGAACAGGACCAAACAACTCAACTTTCCGCCTCCTCCCCCCCGCCCAGTGAAAATTGTTGATTAGGACATTGGATTGAACAATCATAAGGATTTCTAGTGTTGTTAAAAAAAAGCAAAACCTGTTTGGATATGTGTTTTTCCAGTGGGAAAAACTCTTTAGATGAAAAAAATACAAAAAAGGAAGGAATATTTTTTTCTTTCTTCAAGTTTTAAAAATTATCTACAAGTCATTTATCCACTATACAGCCTTCAAACTTCAAAAAAAAACTTTACGCTGAAGAAAACTTAAAAGAAGACTTGAACCTTGAAATGTTTGTATGTCTCTCTTGAAGATAATATATGATTTTCTTTCCCCTTTTATACTGCAGTAAAACTGCAGCACCTAATTTGAATCATCCACAGTCCTAAGTATGTCGGCAGATGTAATAAAAGGATCTCTGCTGACAGACAAACAAGGGGTTATTCCTTCATTGTAGGAGGCACAAAGGAGACACTCGGGAGAAAGCTTGTGTATACAGACTGATTACCATACACAGTAGCAAGGCAATTACAGAAAGTTACTAACAAATATGTTGTATGTAACATTATTCAACCTGAAACTACAATATTGTGAACATCCTCCTCTGTGCAGAAGAAGGTTTGTAAGGTATAATCTGAAATTCTTGCGTTAAAAGAATCCTTTCATATGGGTTTGGACAAGTCAATGTGCCAGCCCTTCTACAGTGAGTGGCATCATAGTACTTTAAGATCACCAGACTGAATAAGGTAGGCTTAAATTTGGAAACTGAGAAAATCTTGAAGTTGTTCTTTTGACTAACTGTAACTTTGACTGAAGTTAATTCTGAGAAAACTGTCGATGCCAGTTTTAACCTAAACAAGAAAAAGGACCTACATAAAGCTAGCGTGATGTCTGATCAAAGGGATGTTAAATATTAAATAATGATTAGCATGTGACTGTATGATAGTACAGAGTAATGATTGCTTCCACAATTAACAAACTTGATGCTCTTTCCCCTTTAAAAGGCCACTGCTATTTATAAGCCAAATTTACATATTTTTAATTACAGACAGATTTCATTTTGCTCATGAGCTCAGACTGAAGTAACTTGAGTGTTTACCAAGACCATAACTTGCAACTAACAAAAGGCATAGGGCATGCTTTGTTGATAAAGGGTCTTTTTTTTTTCCTTACACTAATTGACTCAAAAATGAAAAGTGATCATATTTCTAAGTTCACACAAAAGTTGCTCATGTTTTGTGAGATAATAAACTTTTACAAACAGTGATCTCACTGTGAACTTTATAAAAAAAAGTCATTAAAACAACTCTGGGATTCTCAGGTTTTATTTTTCTTCCTCAGCATAATCTCAGAAAATTAATGATTGGTGGAAGTTGTGTTCTCAATTTTTTTCAAGCACATTAAAATATATTTAGTTCTAAATAAAGACAATAAAGGTACATCGCTTTTGAAAGAAGAAAAAATAAAGCTTCCCTTTATGCCTCTGTTACTGCACAGCAAACCTAAATAACACTACATGCACACAGTGAACAGTAACTCCAAATTCTGCCATTGGCACCTGAAGTAATTCACACCAGGTTTTTTGCTAATGGTGAAGTGATCAAACCTAAAGCAACATGGACAAGGCTATGACTTAGGTGTTGCTCTCTTCGGCCAACAACTGACAGACATGCTTCAAGGATGACTTTGAACAACAGATGTCTTATTGGCTACTTAAACAAAACATAATTCTTTTCTCCCTCCCTGCTTCCTTCCTTTCCTTTTTTTTTTTTTTTCCACAAATGTCAGTAGTAGTTAATTCTGCCGATCACAAAACCTCCAAACTGCATTTGGCATGTGGTGATAGTGCAACAAAAGCTGTCCAGAGGGCAATTAACAGACTGCGTTTGCAGACTGTTCCACCTAAGACTTTAGAGTTCTGTAAACTTTTTCCAATACTAGCAGTAATTGCCAAAATGTAAGTAAGTGGCATTTTAGTCAGAACAAACTTTCAATGAATCACAGGAAACATGCAAAACGGAGCTGAAAGCAAGTGGTCTTTTAAAATGTTTGTTTTTAATCAGCATCTGACTTAAACTTAAAGAAACAGCTGAACTAATTCCTTGTCAGCTGAAGACAATCTACATCTGTTGTGCTGTAATTCAGTGTAACTCTTCCTGTCAGGACCTGAGCCCAGCCAAGTACTAAGCACCCAAATCCCCACAGATGCTTTGCAACTTCCACAATCAGTCTGCAGCAATACCAACATGCTAACCATCTCTTCCTATAAAAAGTCTCACAAGCTCTGTAGGTGGTAATTTGCTATGTGTGATTTCTGCAGACAGTCACATTAAAAAAAGATTTACCCTTTGGTACACTGGTTTGTCTTTCAGTGAAAGGGCCTGTAGCTTAGCTAAGCACAAACTGTAAGCATAGAGCATGATTTTTTATAAGAAGCATTCCACAACCTGTAAATGAACTGAAGGTCCAGATTTCAATTTTACTCAGATTTTCTTATCTGCGGATTACGTCCCCACTTAAACCGTTGTATGAGAAGGCTCAGCGTTTCTAAGGATCTTATTTTTGACCTATTTGTGGTGAGATGTTCTTAAATGTGTGGAAATGAGACAAGGAGTACAAATGCATTTGAGAAAAAAGTGAGCATTACTGGTACATAGATAGTTAACAACTGTCCATCACAAAGATCATTAATTGGATTTGTTCAGCTGCCAGTATTTGATGGAATATTGATTGAAAGGATTTCTTTTCCCCCTCACTTTATCTCTTTACTATATCTTACATGTCCAGAGATGCTTTTTGGTTTGAAGTAAAGAATGCTTATCTTGGTGGAGCAAATTCGACATCACTGCTGTCAGGTGCTCCTCTGTGTAAGGAGAATGTAATAGCTTTACCTCAACTCGAGTTTCTTCTCCAAGAAGGCCCGAGGAGGGTCTTTAAATCCCTGGGAAACACGCAAGCTGAGCACTAGTTCAGCATAATATGTTGCAACATTTTTACACCCTATCTGGCCTGTGGAGGCAGAACACAGTCACTGCGTATTCACATGTGTAGCTTATGGCTTTTCTGAGGGAAGGGAGGGAAGCATGCCAAGTAGAGGTCAGCAGCAGTGAAACTCTTAAATATATAAACCTAGTGGAAGGAGAAGCTTAACCTCCCTTTCTGATACCTTGGAATTCCCTCTTGCCTCTCACTTTCTGCAGATTATCTGCTGAGCCTCCTGAAGTCTTGTTTTCAAGTGCTGAAGCTTTTAAAAGGTGGTACATTACCTCAAGTGAGGTTTATGCAGTTATTACTTTCCAGCTTTCTTTTAAGAGCAGTGCTGGTGATGACTCTACAGAATCATGGTGACAAACGGAGTGGATAAAATTTTTATTTCACTTAGACCAGTGAAATTTCTTGAAGGCTGTTGTATTCTTTGTACTACATAAATATATATCTATATAATGAAAAGGCACACATATCTAGGCTTTACTGCTCACATTAACTGCATTCATACTATGTCCGTCTGAGTCAGTTTCTACACTATATTTAGAAAAGGCTGTGATTCAGCAAATACGGCTGGAGGGTTTCTAAAACATTATTATTGCACGTTCCTAATGCTTAATAAATAATAACCTAAGAAGAAGCCACTGTTACTAATGGAGAGCTTTTCAAGGACGTGCCCGAGCTGTTGCAGGTTTTGTGACTATCCAGCTCACAAATGAAACTTTTCTAGAAGCCATCTTTTACCTCTATCAGTGCACTAACTCTCCTCTGACTCTGGTTTGACAATGCAATAAATCTGATTTCATTGCTGCTGGTACACGACCAAATGCCACGTCTACATGAGACAGCCTGTTCATCTGCCACAAACTCACTCACTTGGCCAGTTCAGATTTTCTAAACCACTCTGACAGGGTAACTTCGTACAGGCAGGCTCTCCACCTGAAGGGAAATTGGTTTTCTGCATCACTCTAGCCTTATGCTGGATCAGGTATTGTCTATCTTCTTGAAGCCAGCAGGCAAACAGGAAGCTGACATTAGGACAAAGTTGTGTGCTTTGGCTAATTTGAAATGCAGCTGTGCTCACATTTGATTTGGATCAAACTTGTACTGATCTAGTAGAGAACAGATACAGTACTATTAATTGTGGAAACATGGCCTCAACACTGCCTGGTCGTATTTTTGAACTGTCCTCTGGTGTATATATAGGTAAACATGTTTCTGTTTTCACAGATGGGCTCTATTTTGGGACAGAAAATCAACAATTAATGAGTTTGAGCTATAAGTCTTTCTACTGAAAGCCAATATACCGATCCCATGATTTTGTCAAAAGTACAGGGTAAAACTTCACTTGAAGCATTAAAATCTGGCACAGGCAGGCTACAGCCTGGGAGGCACACAGATGACACCTTGACAGTCATCTCCACAAATTAAACCAAAGGTCTTGAGCAGCTATTGACTAAGAACTCATAGAAGCCACTTGGAACCTCTTGGCTGAATGAACAAAAAAGTGCAATCGAATTTCAAATTTCAGGCAATAATGTGATCACACAGAGGGATCAAAAGAAGATTCTCTCCAACCACAGCCAAACAACACAAAAATGTTTTATGTTTTGACAGTATTTTGTTTGGGATCAGTACGCAAGACAATATTCTGGTTTGTCAGAGTTAATCACTTAGAGCTTTGAATCTGTGAGAAAACCCAAATGTCCTAATTCTGGGGTTTGTGTTTTCATCAAAGGTCTCGCTTTCTGTTTTAATGCGTATACTGAGAGGCAGTGTTCCAGGGAGCACTGGAGAAGTGTCATCGCAGACAAACTCCTTCAGTACTGGTATTTAACGACCACTCTACAACCGAGATTTACTTGTTAACATGGCTAGGTTTGCTATCCATGCAAATCTTCTCTTGTTGAGAAAGGTCTGAATGTCCCATTTAGCACAAATAACTCTTTGGTTACTTTATTTTTGGTGGGAGATTGTTTCACATACCTCCAATCTTGGCATTAAAGGCGATTCCTACTGTGCAGTGTGAGTTGTTTGCCGTGGCTGCCACTTCTCCAGCACAACGGGTTCCATGCCTGCAGTCAGACAAACATTTTTCCAAGTAAGCACAGACTGTTGGGATTAAAGGCTTTGACTTTGCCCATCCTCAGGTGCTAAAAGCACAACTATCCACAATGTCTTGCACTACTTAATCCCCCGCAGTAATTTATACCCGTGTTACAACATTCCTCTGAACACATTTTAACATCATTATCACAATCACATTAACCTCTTCATGGTAGGCTTACTCGCTACTGGAAACATGGAAAGTTTGTAACACAGACATATAACAATGATACGTAATCCACAGCAACAAAAAGAAGTCTTGGATACCAGTTCTTGATTTTGAACCAAATCTTACATTATAGACAGAACTTTTTTCCTGCATTCTCCCTCAACCACTTATGTTGCTAGCATGTAGATCTCCATACAAGCCCCCAGCAGGCACAACGTATACCATACCTTTCCATGAGGAAGATGAGATTGCACCAATGCCCACACTGCTGTTTAGAGACAAGCCTAAGACTGGCTATATGCCAGGTATGTTCAAAGCTTCTGTATAGGCATGTCCTGGTCATGCCTTGGGCCAAGCCTGCGGCCTTTCCGGGAGCAGCAAAAACAGCTGAAGTACTCTTCACATCAGAGGTATACCCTGGGCCTGGAAGCAGAGCTCGGCTTCAAGGGTATAATCTTAAGAAGCTGCTGAAGGAAAATATAAAACCTCCAGTGGTTGCTTGCCCCCTTGCCTACTGTGCAAAGCCACAGTGGGATGCCTTGCCTAGCCCTGATCCATGCTCTCTATAAGGTGACAGTGGCCATCCATACAGCCACCACAGTAGGAAAGCTGTCCCTGCTTTTTGTGATTTTTGCCTGCAATATAGGATTCACTGCATGTTTTCGACCAGTAAGTTTTGCCCTCATCCTTGTGCAGTTAAGCAACTCCATTGCACAAGCAACAAGGACCAGATGAGGAACTTTAGAGAGCTGCTGTGGAGAGGCAATATGGAGTTTCAGACCAGACAGGAAAAGAGACGGGGAGTTGATGAGACGGAGATAGAAAGATAATGTAAGGCTTGGGTAGCCACAAAGAACGAAGTTTAAAAAGTCAAAGCAAAAAATAGATAACAACATGGCAAGCACTTCAGAGGAGGCTAAGTGAGGTCAGTTGTGTACACAGGCACTCTTCTGCTGGTGGTGGTTGTCAGACTGCTTACACAGACATCTGGAGAACATGGGTGTTTTTGAATTGAAGTTGACACCCATATTAGAGACAAGAATCACAGTTGCTTTCTCTTGGTACAGCTTGTTTTGGGTAGAGTCACTCCCTATTTCCTTATTATTAGCGCAACTTTTTTCCCTTAACCTTTTGAGACACTTAGATGAGAAACACTGAGATAAGTTGTTTGGAATGGATTAATATAAAACAAGAATAACAACAAATAGCACTAGGGAAAACAGAGAGGAAACAAAAAAACAAGCAATATAAGGGATCAATATTAACCTGTTAGAATTTCAGAGGAGATAATTCAGTTTATGAGGTAAAATAAATATAATCTATGAGAAAAGTGTAATCCTTATTCACAAAATCAAAGTGCCAAGTTGGATGCTGATAAATCCTAAAGCTGGATCAAGGTTTCACAATTATATGTATATCTCGTATCTCTCAATTCATCATTTGGTTGCCTAACTTGATCAGAGAACTTTTCAAGATATTTTTGATATGAGGCCTAATTTTCTAGCCTAACTTTCATTTGAAGAAAGCCTATCAAACTCTAATTGATAAACCATTGTTTTATCCTATTACAGAATTATTTTGAAAAGCCTGAATTAAATAATTCAGGAATCACAGATGAAAGCAAGTTTTAAAAAGATCCTTCTTCATTTTCAAGTATTTTCATATACTGTTCTAGCTCTGTGTTTGTTTGAAGCGGTGTCTTTTTAAAATGTATTAATATTTGTAGGCAGATGCCTGTCTTAAGAATTATTTACAAGACACATGGTTCCCAAAGTTCCCTTCTTATGATTTTGTTAGGCGCTACATATAAGTTTAGAGGCGTTATCATTCATACATCAAAGTACGGATGACTATACTCTAGAAATGTAGATGTAACATACCCGCATGCGTCACTTCAGTGCATATAATCTATTAATAAATCACTGCCTGCCTGGTGAAACACATGCAGCTGAGCCGCAGCTTCCCACAGGGGAGGCTGCATTGACAAGAAACCCCTCCTGGGTGCCAGTTTTAGGAAGCAGTGATGGGAAGAAGGTTTTTCAGTAGAGAAAAGGGACATACAGAAATCACACCTGGAGGAAGGAGGCTGCCTGAAGAATTGAAGAAATGGATCAAGTTTCTCAGTGGTTCCCAGTGTATATGGATACCTGCTACTTTTTTAGCTGCATCCACCGAGCACCATCACAAGGGTGAGATTTCCACCAGATCATCAAATGCATCCCAGTCACCCCAGGGCGATGTGATGTTTGTAAGAGGGGAAACGGGGGACGTGCAGCAGGCGGGGGTGTGTGTGTGTGTGTCACAGTGTGACTGCACATCCTAGCAGCAGCCCACAGTAGCACAGGATTAACAGCAACATGAAACTGTACCCTAAATTCCAGCTGATGTGGAAGTAGCTGCAGTGGTAGATGTAACTTCAGTAAGAAGTAGCAGAGGCTTTAAAGGACTGGTATGGAATTATCATGACACACATTTATTGAATTAAAGCACAGTAAGAAATTTCATGTAAATTTCTCATAGAAAAAAGCATATTCCAGAGAGAACTGGATCTTTGGACAGTTTTACAGCATGTGAGTTAAATTAACTTTTCTGACTATTTCACTAGTCCTCACATATTGGAGAATCCTTCTTTTTATTGTATTTTAAGGCCAGTAATGTTATACATTTATTTTGTAAGCAGATTTTTACATTAGACGCTTGCTTCTCTGCCAAGATTATTGTTAATTGCATTCTACATTTATAATGGAAATGACAAAATTGTAAGTTGCTTTATTCATTTCAAGATTATACGTATAAAATTGCCCCTCTTACAATCAGTTTCCCACTGTGTGAATTAATCATATATGCAACCCAATTTGTTTTAATATGTTATCTTTTATGGGTATTTTAGTAATATTTCAATTACGCTGTGAAAGGGAAGACTTTCTAAAAAATCTGCATATAAAAAATCAAGTTCTTTCCACACTGCTTTTCATTTTCTCTGTCCCAGATTTTTGCTTGAGCTCTACAGTTTGGAAGAGACTCTGAATTCTGCAGCTAAAATAAGGAAAAACTTCAGATTAATCATTACACTAATTTCTTAACTAACTTGATACTCAACAAATATGATGCAACTGATGCCTGAAATTGATTAAGTCTGCTTTAAAGCTATGAAAACTTCTGCTGAGCCTGAAATCCTGAAAATGTCAAACTATGAACAGTTTATGGAGGCAGCATAACCAGTAACAAGAGGTGAAACAAGAGGCGCTTTCAAGTTAGCATTTTTTTGTGGATGTATATATATGTCAAAACACAACAATCTCCTGTCCTTGTGGGATGCCTACATCACATACAACTTGTTTAAAAAGTTGATGCAGTCCCAGAACAAAGCATGACTGCCCTTCTACAAAGGCCTATCTTGATAAACTTTAAGGGTCAATGCTTCATTTCACTGGATCCTTTGCCAGCTTATGTTGAAGGGAAATAAGTTCCCAGGCTATTAAATGGCACTTTGAAGAGACACTCAGCTAAAAGGTTTTGCACTTGTCCTTTGTGTTAATGTCAGTGTGATGTAGTATCACAGAATAGAACATGAAAGAAAGCTTGGTTATGAGACATTCTGCCCATCTACAAACGTCTCCTACCTGGAGTCTAAGAGAAAGAAAAGGAATGGAAAGAAAAAAAGCTTTTTTGCTGTTGGTTGTTTGTCTCATAAGAGAGACATGAAAATTTGCTATTCAAAGACAGATTTAGGCTCAAAAGGCCACCAGGTAAAAGAAATAAGATGTCATAAGCATTATCTTCCAAAAAAGCTGTACGTAGATGCTTACAAAGTTGGCCAGCACATTCCACCATAAAACCATCTTTTATGATTCTGCCTAGCTTTAACTGCTTTATCTAATTTTTTCATTCCAGGCAAATAAGTACAACTTTTTCAGAAACTTACATATTTTCATTTTTTTATGTGAGAGAGACAGAACATGAAGAACAAAGAAAATACGCAGGCAATTAAGATCAATTTTCTTCTCTTTTTATAAGGAAGAAATTCGTCAGTCTGTCATTAACAAGTAGTCAGCAAGGTGTCAAAGACCTACTCAGGAAGACCTTAGTAAAGGTAATTTTTTTGCCTTATGATGCCCTCACTATTATATGGAGAACTCGAAATATTAACTGTTGAAGAAATACACTTCTATGAAAAGGTGTATGTTACTTTTTTCTTCTGCATGCACGAACACTGCTTGAGCACCTGAATGCTAAAGGTACAGTCTTTTGACAGCTCTCTAAGATAGGAGACATTTAAGAGTGACGCATTTTTTTTCTGAGACAGAAATGGCTCAGTATTTCAGGCAATGATGGAAAGAGAAAAGGGGCGTGTTCTATGATTAACTATCATTCCTCCCATCCCACTGACATAATTTAAACATAAGACATTTATCTTTCAATAATCCCTCTTAATTTGCTTTTCAGAAGAGGAAGAAGCTATGAGGCACCAGGAACATCTTTAAGATAAAAGTTTATTAAGCTCGCCTCTGAACATTTAGAATAAGGAAATATTCAGAGTTAGCAAAGACAGCTGCTGGTAATTTGAAAAGCCCCTGCCATGTAAATTGGTTCTGCATTTCAGAGCCTCCATCTCTGACAGCTATTCTTTGAATTCCACAAACACTCTGACCATGCATTTCTTTGCCGTATTTTATTCTTCTGGAGTTCATCAAGTATTTCAGAACACAAAAAGCTCAGGGGACTGGAGGATTTAAAGTCCTCCAGCTTTTCACGATACTAGCATTATAGTGTAACCCACTTCAACCTGTCACCAATGGG